GATGAATATGCTCTCTTCTCAAACAGCATCCAATGTTTTTTTTTCTTCAAATCTTTGAAGCGCTTTGGATAAGTTTAACAAGCAAACCAAAGACTCTAGACCAAAAACAAAATAAAAAAAACAAATGGAAAACATAATCGACGGCTTAAAGCTGTTGGGAACTACAAACGCAGCTCTTCCATGCATGTGTTTGTTCGCACGCATGTGGATGCTATCTCCTTTTGTCTAAATGCATAGTTTGTTTTAGTGCGCTTTTAAGGTAAAACTGAAACCAAATTATTTGGTTTCGGTTTGGTTCAGTGTGATTTTGGAATAAGAATCGAAATGGAACTAAATTATTTGGTCAGTTCGGTTCGGTTTCATTGGTTTTGGAGAAGTTTTGATGCTGGTAAAATTCCTCCAATATGGCCAGCCACTTTGTGGAGAGAGAGAGAGAGAGAGAGAGAGAGAGAGAGAGAGAGAGAGAGAGAGAGAGAGAGAGAGATACAGTTTCACTCTTTGCCTCAAAGAAACCCTAATGAAAGAAATGCTATAAAGTCACTTTTATACCTCCTTTCATTTGAGTGGCAAACTTGAAAATAAGCCCACTCCCTTGCTATGCCCGGTCATCCTTGTCTAGTTGGGTTAATTGCCCATTTCATTTTAGTTATCATACAACTAAACTCAATATGCCTTGTGGACCACAACCTGTGTAGGTCGCGAAACCTGAAACTAACTTAAAAGCCCTCTATGAACCTTGTGTATGAATAATTAACTAATTAAATAATCTTGCCCATGCTCAATTAAACTATTTAATTGATTATCCATCTCATTGACATTTCTTCACATTCATCCTTATTCGGTGTATGATTCACTAGGTTCAATTAGCGAGGTAGTGGGCGATTGTAACTCTTAAGAATCGATTGTGAAATGAGACTAACTTTCAATTCTCACTTTGTTGAGGATTAGTGTTTGCTAATACCCAGGGCTTCCATAAACCATGAGTGACACCTACCAGTATATCATGGCTACCCAAGCTAAGTAGAAGTGGTTGGAGAACCTATCCAGTTAATTACAATTGCAATGCAAACAACCCTTCTCTAATTTAACACTCTTGACCACATTTTTTAAGTGATAGTTTATTTCATATCTACTCCATTGTTATACTTCTCTATATAATTCTCTTGAATGTGATATGGAACGTTTTTCATAAATCTCATTCATATGATTTGGCCAAAGACTCCTCAGTTATATCTCAGAGTATTCCCCTTCCACCATGGAAGGTTAGAGATCCCTTATTGCACATTCACATGTCTGCATGACTAGGTAGCTTAACCCCAACAATGTTGTAGACATTCTCAATGGAATGCCTTTGACACAATCAAAGATCAAAGACCTAACCATTAGACAACCATAATATCCGCTGAAGTCCAAAAATGTCATGAGCAAGTCCAACCAAGTCTCGAGGCCCAATCTTTACGCGAGCTCCAAGTCAAGCCCAAATACATGCAAAGGTGCGGGATCAAGGAAGGAATAAATTCACAACCATGCCGTGCTATGGCGATTAAGCCAGATATTCATATAAATCACACCATGCCCATGCCTAGCTATTCGTCATGCTAAAATAAGCCCAAGTCACATGCTCGGGGCTTGTCAAATGAATTGTGATGTGGATGGTTACAGAAGTTTATTGGGTCTATGTGGAGTCAAGATTACAGAATACTTTGGGCTACTTGGGGGCCCAAAGATCCAAGCCTATAACCCTTGTAGTCCACATAGGCAAGCATGGAGAGAGAACAGACTTAGTTTACCCCTTTCCTTAACAAGCTAACCAATCCAATTAGAAAGGAACCAAATCCTAGCTCTAAGTTCACATGAAAGCCCATCAGAACAAGCATTTAATGAACAGAGGGGCTGATGTTCCCTTCCCAGGTCATGTAGAACTTCAACGCGTGAAAGCTATGAGGTGCCCTACCAAAAGTAATGCCTGTTGAAGGTAGACCCGGGAAGGCAATGCCTTGGGAATGAGGCATGATACAGGTTTTATAGAGTGGTAGCGTCTAGCCCTCTTGCACCTAAATGGAGGGTAACAAAAGAACTAAGGAGAAAAGGGAGAAAGAACCAAGTCATAATTAGAGATTCCCTGGGAAGGAATCATTCAACTACAAATATAGGTTAAGAACTTTAGAGGAGGGATATGATAACATGGAGGAAAAAAAAAAAAAACCTATGAGGCATCATTATGTAACCTTAGTATTTTCCATAACCTTCCCCTAAGTATTCTGCCATTAGAAGCCTTGTTACCACCCTAGGACAGATTATCCAACAGAGAACACCACACAATAACCCAACCTGATGAACTTCTAGCTTGCACACCATGCCTTACTCGAGTAAGCATTATTTGCTTAATCGTGCTAATCTTCGAGTCATTGATCTAACCGAGATATCTCCTAAGACGTGCTAATTCTTTCGAGATATTCTAGGACTTGGTATGAAACAAAACCAAGGGACACAAGAGGACATTCTCAAAGCCCAAGTCCACCTTGACCTAAAAGTCCCCCAATAATGTCTTAAGTCAAAGAACTACTTTGCATTGTTGCAACTTATGAGTTCTTACATGACATGTATGTTAGAACTCTCTTTTGGTCGTTGTTTAGTGTACTCAATACCCTTTCGAGCACCTATGCGTTTGTCTTAGTGTCTTAACATTTAATAACTTGATACTTTTGCTTGAGTTAACATATAATAACCTTACGGGTTGTCAATGCCCAACTAGAAATCCTATGGCTAGGAAGAAACACAAGAGAAATATCTCATTGATCTAACACACTTAGGTGACTTCTCTCTTAGGGTTAATACATTCCTTAGATTCTGTTATTGCTTAAACACTCGATACAATAAATAGTGATTAACAATAAGTTTTGCCCTTTCATTAAACAAATAATAGTTTAACATGATAAGTATTCCAAGAGCTATTACATCAAATGAGTGGCTTTATGGGCCTACTTCCAATAGGTACTACTACAATCACTTAATGAATTAAAACTTTCTATAATGTTCTCAATCCTTGAAGACTATGTGGTTACTCATCAAGAAGGCCCACAAGTCATGAGTGAAATTTAGCCATGTGTTATGACTACTGAAGCCAATATAGAATAGTTTGGAGAACCTATAGGTTGTAATTGCAATGACTATTTGAACGACGTGGGTGGTTAGTCGTGCAATTTTTTGGCGCCAAACCAAAGCTTTTACCATTTTTTTCCCAACATTGCATGATGAAGGTACACCTTTGTTGCGCTAAATTGTTTTGCACGACATATGTCTTCGTCGTGCAAAGTCCCGTTGCGCAAAATTTTCTTGTGCGACACTTAGTTGTCAACGTTGCGCAAAATGTCCTTGCGCAACGTATTTGCTCAGTCGCGCAAGTATGTTTTTGTACTAGAGACAAATTATTGAATTATATCGTTGAAAATTCTCTTTCTCTTATTGAAGGTTAGATATCCCTTGTTGTTCACGCATATGCCCTTATGAATAAGTCAAGGACCCTAACGATACATGAAAACACACCCAAGATGAGGTATCGTCATGTTGCATCATCAAATGATCAATGACTTATCCACAAGACAACCATGGTGTCTCAAGTAAGAGGATTATTTGCATCATTGCAACTCTTAGAGTTATTTGCTTGATATATGTATGTAGCACTCCATATAAGTATTTTCATTTGATCGCATTCAGCGAACTCACTCTCCATTGGTACCTAAATACTTGTCTAAGTGTCTCCATACAAATGGCTTGACATTAGCCATCCTCCCAATTGAGCAGACATAGTGTGTACCGGTCTTTCTGGATTATCAATGTCCATTTGATTATCCTATGACTATGAACACTTTAGGATAAGATAGATGGTCAGAAGATCTCAGCAATCCAACATCTTTGGATTACTTCTTCCCCTATACATTATCATGTCATGTCGATCGTGTACGAAGTTGAGACAAAAGTACTTATATATTTCCCTAGTATATAAAGTATTTGAAGTGCATTAGCAACACCCAAAATTACATTGATCTATTTTGCTGAACATTGTAAAATATACATCAGTTTCGTTTGGTGGGCTAGATCAGACAAAACATGGCTCATCAAATTGGACATGAATCTAAGTTACTGTTTGATGGGGTTAAGGACTGCATACAAGATACTAGGTTGAATTTGAGTCCAAAATAACAGGGACTTTCTAACCTATCGATCATACATGGGTTTCAAGTGCAACACAAGGTTCGCGTTTTCCTCCTGATTCTTTCCTAAAAACCCTAGTTAAAGGTGTGGGTGAAAATTTGGGTTTGTGTTCAAGTCTTTTTTAATTTTTTTTTAATTTTTTTAATTTTTAAATTTCTTTAATTTGAGATTAAAGAGATATTGTTATTTGAAACTGCCATAAGGGGAGGGGAAATGTTTGAATCTGGTATGCATAGAATTGAAAGGGAAGAACCCATCCACCAGGGCAATCCACCACTTGCACTTTCTTTTTTTACAATTTTACAAGCATTAGACAAAACTCTCATCCTATCCATTTCAATCCTAGCACAGCCCTATCCAAAATACCAAGTCCGATCGGATTAAGTTTTGAAAATAACAGATTCGATATGTACATAGATAACAACCGTTGAAGTAAAATTCAACTTTTGGGGCCTGAAATGACATTTTAGGCAAATCAGAATGTTTGGTTGAGTATGTACGAGAGAGAAAGCTGAAAAAAAATAAGATAGCGAGCTGGATGGGACTCTTTACCCTTGACCTTGAGGATCAAATTGTTGGCTCTTGTAGTTAATGGGTAACAACATCCATCCAGAGGTGCAACGCACTTATATTTTTCACTTTGCATTTTCAACCATTGGTTTCTCTGAAACTTCTTGTACTTCCGCCGTACAGATGGACTTCAAATAATATTTTTAAAATCTTCACTTGTATTCTTTTTCCCTTATAAATAGCATGCCTGTGGTGCGCCTCCGAAAGCATCTCTCTCTTTCTCTCTCTCTCTCAGTTCATGCAAAGCTGTAAGTTAGTCGTACATCATTCATTCTGGCCATAGTGATGGAGTCTGCAAGTCATGAGAAAGTAGGGTTATTAACTAGTTGGTGGCTGAAGCTCAAAGCCATGTCTACCATGATTACTTGCAAAGTCTCCGAGCTTGCAAAGATGACAAAAAAGCTTGGGCAAGACGACCCCAGAAGAATCGTTCATTCTTTTAAAGTTGGATTTGCACTCACCTTGGTCTCATTATTCTACTACTATCAGCCACTTTACAACAACTTTGGTGTCTCTGCAATGTGGGCTGTCATGACTGTCGTCGTTGTCTTTGAGTTCTCAGTAGGTATGTTGATCATCTCCTTTATACGTACTCCATTAAATGTTGCATGATGACTACATTATACATCTAACCGTATTATGTGACAGTTGATGTGTATGTTAAGAAAAAAACTTTATTAATCTTTTACTGTTTTATTGACATGCATCTAGGAGCTACTCTTGGAAAGGGATTAAATAGAACTATGGCAACACTAGTAGCTGGTGCTCTTGGTATTGGGGCTCATCACCTAGCTAGCCTATCTGGACAAATAGGCAAGCCCATAGTAATTGGCGTCTTCGTCTTCCTACAAGGTATATCGCTTACTCTTAAACAAACATCAATACTTTATTTTTTGGGAACTTTAACGAAAAGCACCTGGTACTGTTCACTTTAACGAAAAACCACATTTTTACACTAAAAAGTCAATCCTGGTACTATTCACTTTACCCTTTATTTTGTCTTTATCATTAAAACTCAAAATTTTCAAACCTTTTTCATTAGTTTTCCTTTATTTTTTCTCTCTTAACATATCTTTGTGTTTTTGCAGCTGCGACATCAACATTTATACGATTTTTTCCCAAAATCAAGGCACGATATGACTACGGGTTGTTGATCTTTATATTGACATTCTCTTTGATATCTGTGTCCGGTTTTCGAGATGATGAAATATTGGAGTTGGCCCACAAGAGGCTGTCAACCATCTTTATTGGTGGCTCTGCCTGTGTGATCATATCCATTCTGGTTTGCCCTGTATGGGCTGGTGAAGATCTTCATAACCTCATTGCTAACAACATTGAAAAGCTAGGAAACTTCTTAGAAGGTATATTAATATATACATATTAACCTAAACATAAAGCATTTGGGATGATATATATATATACTATGATATCAATCCTTGCACTTACTTTAAATATTCTTATTTCAACGTGGAAATAATATATAAGAAACTGTTATTGACACTCTAAAAAAGTTATTATGTACTTTTTACGTTTATAAAAAATATACTTAAAAGAATGTATGATAACATGTTCAAAACGCAAATAACATCTCCCATCTTTTTAAGGGGTTATCATGGTTTTTGAGATATTTGTCGTGTTTTAATTGGGTTGGTACTGCAGTCGAGCAATAACAATCCCATCAAGCTTGAATTTCTTTTGAAAGTTTGGTTAAAACTTAAAATAATCAACCATTCAATGACAAAACATGTTGAACAGTGTGATAAGTACCTACCAAATTGGCAAAATTTAAATACAACAATTTATGCTTTAACTCAAACAATAAAAAAGTAGTTCTGGATAACAAACTACCATGCTATTTCAAGTAGTGATTGTTCTTTTCCATTTCTTAGTATCATACTAATTATAAAACGTGATAAATTGAAAAAAATTACAGGATTTGGAGACCAGTACTTCAAAACATTAGAGGATGTAGAGTCTAAAGATGACAAGGCATTTCTCCAAGGATACAAAACTGTTCTCAATTCTAAAGCTAGTGAGGATTCCTTGGTGAGTAAAGTTCTCTCTTTAAATCTCTCTCTTTCTCTATCTTTCTCCCTGGATGATTATTCATAAATGTTATTTCAGGCAAATTTTGCAAGATGGGAACCTGGTCACGGTCGTTTCCTTTTTCGTCATCCATGGAAGCAATACCTTCAAGTTGGAACTTCAACTCGACAATGTGCCTACCGGATTGAAGCACTTCATAGCCGGCTCACTTCTGACAACCAAGTATTTATACAAAACCCCCATTAACATATAGTTTTTGTCTAAATACAAGGTTTAGTCGATCTAATTTAGCACCTAAATATAAAACTATATATAACCAAAAAAAATAAATAAATAAATAAATAACGCAAGAGCATACTATAAATTGCGGTTTGTATTGTTAATCGACTTATATGTGAAAAGACAGTGCTTGCGCAATATGGCAACGTACATGCATGTATGGGAAAAATAATATAACACTAATCAATTAAATAATGTTATATAATTATAATGCATGCTTAATTAACTTGACTGACCATTATGGTGTATTTAATTTGCAGGTATCGCCAGAAATTCTAATTAAAATTCAAGAATCATGCACAGAATTAAGCTTGGAAACTGGCAAGGCACTGAAGGAACTAGCATTAGGCTTCGAGGAAATGACCAAATCACCCTCTGTTGATACCCACATTGCCAAGGCAAAAGCTGCAGCCAAGTCCCTCAGAGCCTTACTTAAATCTGGGCTGTGGGAAGATGCAGCGCTTTTAGAAGTGATGCCAGCAGCAACAGTTGGCTCACTTCTGCTTGATGTTTTCAACTGCTCTGAGAAAATCATTGAGTCTGTCAATGAACTGGCACAACTTGCAAATTTTGAGACTGTTGAAGCCACTGTGTCACCAGAGAAATTAGACACCAAGAAACAAAATAATCCCAACCGGGATTGCCCCCATGTTGTTGTTACAATTATAGAGTTGCCCCAAGTTATACCAGAAACTGGGAAAAAAAATGGTAGTCATCAACAAATGGAAGTGTAAATATTTTATGTTGCTAGTTATTAACATATGGCAATGACATAATACCCAAGCTGCTGTATTATAAAGTTTGGGTTTATGAAGCTAAACACTACCGTAATTTGAAATTATTGTAAAGGTTTATCCTTAACAAGTTTCTTATATATCCATTTAATAGCTATAAATAATTCATTTTTAGCTACTTATCAACTGGTCGTGGTTTACTTTTCACTTCTGTGAAGGGTGTCCAGATTTGAATTCCCACTGTTTTTTTTTTTTTGATAAATTAAGTTCTCATCCCTCATTTCTCCTTCTCATTAATTGAAACCTTATTCATTTTTCATTTTTGATCAAGATCACTTGACTTTACTTCATGTCATTATTTGAATATTAAATTATTTACAAATCATTATATGTTATATGTCAATTTAAAAATGAAAAATTATTAATCATTTTTGTCACAGCCCATCCCGAAATTCATTTATCAGTGATGTAAAATGACAGCTTTATCCTTGGACGGGAAAATGGTAGTGTGTATGTGTGACATATTGAGACTTAGAGGTTGTTTTGTGGTCTTGGATTGGTGACCACGTGGATCACACACACACCACACTCACTCCTTCTCTCTTCTTCCTGTGCTCTCTCTCTCATCTCTCAAACTCTCTCTCTATCCTTCTTCTTGTACCGACAAACACCAAGGACCTCTCAAACCTCACTGATCGAGGAAGAAAATGGTACCATTGTGTTCGTGAGGACCCTACGAGTTCAAGGGTATCAATTTCAGGTAAGGAAACCTTTGATTTCACTTGGAAACCCTAGCCCCAATTTTGGTCACTATTCATGTGGACGTAAATATGTTGATTTCAGGGAATTTCAAGCTCATAGAGAGCTTTAGGAGGTCCTAAGGAGGCTCGGGGTGGTTCGTTGGATAAATTTGGACGTCGGGATAGCTAGTTTCGAAGTTGACCAGATTATTGAGCTTCCTCAGGTAAATTCTAGTGGATTTCAAGGCTTAAAAATGGTATAATGTGATTCTACATGTTGTTAGCTTTCCAATGGTTCAAATTTCATAAGTTTTGGTTAAGAAACGAGTGAGAATAGACGTTTTAAAGTTTTACCCAGTTTTTCGGCGACCGGCGACTCGCCGGAGAAGATGACGGCATATTCCGTCAGTTTGGATGGAATATGCTGTCGCTGTCAGTTAGTTTTAACAAAATCTGTTAGATTTTAACGGAATATTCCCTAATGGCAGTTAGGGAATCCATCAATGTGCCTGCGCTTGGGCCGCGCGTGAGGCCGTGCCCTCCCCTGCCCGTGAGGGCGCGTGAGTTACAGAAAAATTATTTTAAAAATATCATGATGTTCGTGAGGTTGTGTAGGCCACGTTGGTATATTCAAATACCAAAATTGAGCAATGTATGAGAAGTTATTAGCTAGTTTTGCCTATGTGCTTTAAAATAACTTTTTTATAGTTAATTCGTATATAGGTGAGACTTATCTCGAGGACGAGCGTATCCACGGGTGACTCGGGGGCTACGACCCTTCGACATACCAGTGAGTGGGCTTTTGTTTTCAGTATATATTTATATACTTGATATATTTCCCAGAAATGCACTTTTAAGGAAAGTATGCTTTGAAATAATATGCCAAATGCTTTTATATTCTGAATATGCATTTCATGGTTGCATATATATATATATATATATATATATATATATATATATATATATATATATATATATATATATATATATATATATATATATATATATAAATGTGGTGCTGTGGAGGCACATGTAAGTTCAGGTAAGTTATGTTTGATTATGTGAATCATCGATGATGCGATATGTGATTGAATAATGTTGAGCTCATAAAATTGCACCTAGGGTGATTGTGATTTAGCCAGAGATATGAAGTACATGCCTACTTATTTACGTCACCTCCCGCACTATATGCTCATATTGGATCCAACTTAAGTGCACAGTCTTGTTGTACAGACCTTATTTATGGTTCCGACTCGTAGGTGACTAGCGATTTATCGCTCGGCTATTATGAAATAATAGAATTGAGCATAATTATATTACACCCAATCTTGTCGTACAGACCCCTTTTTAGTGGTTCCGACTTATGTGCAGTATATTGCCGTATAGGTCATTGTAGTGACTCCGGCTAGATTGACTTTTGAGCTATGAATTCAGCCGTACATACTACCACAGGGGTTCCGGCTAACATATCATATTTCCATGAAGTCATTCTTACCCGGATTGTTTACTTTGTTATATTTTGACATGGCATACATATGAATATGATCATGTGAAGCATGAATTAAATTGTTATGATTTCAGATATATATATGCTTATATCTTGATTCTGGGAAAATTATACATGTTTTACAGCGAGGGGTTAGTATATTGATAAATGAAATGGTTTTGTAAAACAATTGTTTGTGCCCACTCACGTTTTTTGTTTTGCACCCCTTCATGTTTTAAGTAAGTTTGTTGTTGATGGCTTGAGGATGTCTGCGATTCTGACTTATCGAAATAATTGTAGGAAATTCCTGGTACTGTATAACTAGTACTTGTCCTACTGGATTGCACCTAGATTTTATGCTCTGATTAGGAGTGTTTACTACTGTAACTAACTCTTATCACTATCTATTTAGTAGTGCACTCTAGTAATTCAGTTTTTAATTATTAGTATAATTCTTATCATTATCGCTTCCGCACTGTGCACATGGCTACGTCACTCTCACGTGACGGCCAACATGCCTTGATCTTGGTTGGGTTGTGTCAGTTTGGTATCAGAGCCTAGGTTTAGCAATCCTGTATAATTCTTGAATGTTCTAATCCTTGTGATGTCTTATGTCTGAACTATGCCGCCTCGTAGAAAGCCCCGTCAATCAGCTGAATCTAATTTCCCCGATATTGCTCAATTAAGGGAAGCTATAGTTTCTGCCATTCAGACAGCATTCTGTACTCATCAGAGGACACCTCTTGAGACAGTTCATAATCTGAAGTTGACCCACTTCATGGGAAATGAAGGTCATGAGGGGGCAGAAAAATGGATGAATCTTATGGAGAAGACCTTTGAGGTGATGTAGAGTTAATGGAATCTTCCTCCTAATAGGTGGGTCGAGATGACTACCTGGTTTTTTAGGAGAACAACCTGCATCCTGGTGGAGGCAAGAGTCTTACCAGTTGACCCCAGCAGAGATTGTGGACTGGGGAGTGTTTAAGAAGATGTTTCGAAAAATGTTCATTCCTCCTGCATATATCGATCGTAAGAAACAGGAGTTTACTCATCTGTGGCAAGGAAAGATGTCCGCTAATGAGTATTACAGGATGTTTACTGATCTGTCGAGATATGATCCGGAGGTTGTTGCTAATCCGGTAGAGATGCTTCGTCGTTTCAGTTTGGGTACTAAGAAGAAATGGCGTTCTATAGCGACATCGACTCTCTGTGCCTTTTACTAGGAGTTTTATGAGATTCTACTGAGGATTGAGGCCTCAGAAAACATGCCCAGTGAAAGTGAGGATGAGGAAGGAAATAATGGGGGCCAGAGACGAGATGACAAAGGAAAAGGGCAAACATTTCAGGGACCCCGCAAGGCCCAGAACTTTAAGAGAAGTGGTGGTAGTTCCAACTCTTCTAGTGGAGGATTAAGTACTCATATAAAGAGGAGAGGTGGTAGATTCACTAGAGGTCTGAGGTTCCAGAGACAAAGAGATTTTGGTGGTTCAGGTGGATCTGGTGCTCCCTTATGCCGCAAATGTAATAATCGGCATTTTAGGGAGTGTAGGAAAGGCAACAATAGATGTTTTACTTATGGACAGATGGGTCATAGGGCTGCCTAATGCCCTTAAAATCAGCAGAGACCCCAGCAGCCTTCATTCTCACCACCTGCATCGACCTAGCAAGCTTTAGGATCTGGTGGTTACACTCAGACAGGGCGAGGAGGTGCCTACCATTACCAGGGCGACGTCGCTCCCTACACCTCAGGACAATAGCAGTACTCTCAGGATCCTCAGTATCAGAGTGGGTATCCTCAATATCATGGAAGATCCATGTCTTATCAGCCACATTTAGCCGATGGATCTCAGTGGTACCAAGGGGGACAATCCCAGCAGGGAGAGATTGTTGTTAGTAGTGCAGGATTTTCGAGGCAGTTGGGTCAACATAGGCAGGGACGTGGTATTCATGCCAACAGAGGTCGCGGTGGACGACATCAGAATCAGGGGTGTATCCACAACATGTCACTGCAAGATGCCCAGAATAATCCAGATTTAATCATGGGTACGTTAAATATTCTTGGTCATTTTGCTAGAGTATTGATTGATTGTGGTGCTACACATTCTGTTATTTCTCATACATTTGCTCAAGTGACACAACCTCATCCTACACCTCTAGGATATAATTTAGAATTTTCTATGCCTAGAGGGGATAGATGTTTTTTGGATCGGGTATATCCAGGATGTCCAGTGATAGTAGAGGATATTATTATGCCGGCTAATCTTATGCCGTTGGATATTATGGATTTTGATGTAATTTTAGGCATTGATTGGTTGAACTATAATTGTGCCAAGATAGATTGTTATGGGAAGACAGTCACATTTCATTGTCCTGGATTACCTGAAGTTACATTTGTAGGAAAGCCTAGTGGGGTGAGGCATGGTATTATTTCAGCCATGAAAGCAAAAAGATTGTTGTCGAAAGGTTGTTAGGGATATTTGGCTCATGTGGTGTTGAATGATGATGCTCCTAGTAGTGTGAAGGATGTTCATGTGGTCATATATTTTCCGGATGTATTCCCTGAGGATTTGCCTAGATTGTCGCCAGATAGAGAGGTGGAGTTTGTTATTGATTTGTTTTCAGGTACGAATTCTATATCTTTGACTCCTTACATAATGGCTCTTCCTGAATTAAGAGAATTGAAAGTACAATTACAAGAGTTAGTGGATAAAGGTTTTATTCAGCCAAGTACTTCACCTTGGGGAGCTCCAGTTTTATTTGTGAGGAAGAAAGATGGAACTTTGAGGCTGTGCATTGATTACAGGCAATTGAATCGGGTAACCATTAAAAACCGTTATCCATTGCCTCGTATATA